CTTTTTCTCAGCACAGATGGCACTGGATTTGTTTCTCTAACCCAGCCGAACACATTCAAGGACGTAAAGACTTTTGAGACTTGGGTCCTGCCTGCCCTCCATGTGAAGGCAGTTGCTCTCAAATTGCTACAGCAAGTACCGAAAATCCTAATCTTCTTCCGGGATTTTAAAATGAACCCCTTCCCACTAAGCAATGCCAGACTTCTGTAACACTAGACACTGAAGTATTGCATATGATTCTATTCTGGTGGCATTTGCCATCCTCTCCATTAAAAATTAAAAAATCAAACTCAAATATACGCTTTTAGATCATATGTTCCATGACCTGGGTAGAACAAACAACCACCGTTTATACTGGCGCATAAGCCAATTCGAATATCAGCAGAGGCACCTACTGGTAATTTTACCACAAAAACGGCATAAAAATGTGCTGAAAAACTCGGCTTATACAGGAGTATATACGGTGAGTGGAAAGGATGGATGCTTGAACCCATTTAGAGCCCTGGGGGCGTGGTCAGACAAGTGTTGGACCACTAACTGAAAGGTCTGCAGCTCAAACCCACCTTGGGGGAAAGATGAGGTTGTCTTCTGGAGTAAAAATTTCTAGCCCCCGAGACCCCACCTAGGGTGTTATGTTGGAATTGACTCTACGGCCTGGTGGATCGGGTAGATATCTGGAGATGTGCTGCTGAAAGGTCAGAGTGATGGAGCAATTCTACTCTGCAAACACCGGGCTGCCGTGTCTCCAATGGTCTCTATAGCAACAGCAATGCGACGCTTCAGGAAATGTAGTGCAATACCTTAGGAATTGCACCCTGTTAGGTTTCTTTAGAATTGGGGCTCACCAATAGGCTTGGTTGGACAAGAACATTGCTTTATCTGGCTCTTGAAGAAATCCATTTACAACCTGTATTTCACCATCTTTTAAATTAGGGGTCCTCAAACTTTTTAAACAGGGGGCCAGTTCACTGTCCCTCAGACCCGTTCGAGGGCCGGACTATAGTTTATGAACAAATTCCTATGCACACTGCACATATCTTATTTTGAAGTAGAAAAACAAACAGGGCAAAAACACCCGGTGGGCTGAATAAATGTCTTTAGTGGGCCACATGTGGCCCGCGGGCCATAGTTTAAGGATGCCTGTTTTAAATCCTATGCCTGCCCAGCTGGGGAGGAACAATAAAAGGTGTGGGTATCAAGCTTTATTTTTCATGATTTGTAGTTCAAAAATAATTATTTTTCTCCAAATACAAAATTGTAACATTGAGTTCACTTTTCCCCCAAATTGTTCTAATTCAGCAATAGTACGAGTGCAGCATCAAATCTATACGATGTTTTGAATGTAAAACACTGACGCCTCCTGAAATACAAACCATCTGTGTGCTTGTTTCAGCTGTAACTTCGATAACCTGAGATGTGTATATTTAGTTCTGGGAGGGGGTTGGTGATGACGACGACGACGGGGATGGTGTTTCCTGTTTGGTTGTTTAAGCACACACCAGGCTCCATGCTGGAGGAAAAAACAAAATTCCAAGAAAGGATTGTGGAGGGTGCTCTCCATGGGACCAGGGTGTGCCTGACTAGGAACACCCTTTCCTGAATCTCCTTACAAGCAGGTGAAGGGATATTAGAATCCCAGAACTGACTAGAGGAAGGTAGTGCTTTCCCAGCACCATATTATTCTTCCACGGAATGACTTTAGTGGGTTAGTCTGGCAGGGGAGCTAATAAACATAGATGTCTCAGGGATAACAGACTGAGGCAGGTGGGAAGTAATTATTTATTGACTGCTCTTCTAACTATCTATCACATCTATCTGTCTTTTCTATCTTTTCCTCAGTCTTATTAACTATTTAATCTTCACAGTAACCTTGCAAGGCAGCCATTTGTATCCCTGTTTTATAGTTCGGGAGATGGCACTCTGGGAGGAGAGAAGGGCAGCCTGAGGAATGACGTTCGGAAAGTGGGTTTGATGCCCTGCTCTGCAGGCTACGGGGGTGTGTTTAACTCCTTGGAGGATAGAACCTTCTGGAAATCCAGTTTGAAATTATCCCGTAGGGCCTGCTCCACATCCAGCTTGCAACATGATTTGGAATTTTAGAGCATCTCCTTAACTGACACGTTTAGAAGTACAAACTGAATAGCAGGAAGGGCTTGTGCTCTATTACAAAGGTAAATTAAAAAAAAACCAAAAACTATTATCACAAAATCCTGAAACCTGCACCAAACAAATGTCTAAAAATGTGAAGCTGCTGTTTCATAATACTATTGTCCCATGACGCTACTGGGTCTGTACCCTTTTGAAGATCATGTCTCCATCTTGCTAAGCCTTCTTAGAAGAATTTTGTTCTCTTCAATGGACACCATGCATCACAACAGCAATTCCTTTTAAATGTTGAGTTTAGGGGAGAAAAAGTGTGAAGGGAAAGATCAGGCTATAGGGTGGATTGTAGGATACAAATATGTTTTTCCCCAATTTGCCTCCCCAAATATATGTCAGACCTGGGACACTGCTTGCGACACCTAGTAAATAATTGTACACACTTGGAAGCCAGCCGGTTAGCAGTTATCTCCCTGAAGGCATCAGCCATCCAGAGCACTCAGACTACTGTCTGGTCCACCTTAGGTGGGACTCACACCCTACTGATAAGGATAGCGATTGTTTCCCTGGAGAGCCCAAAGAACAAGTCAAACCAGCTCAAGGACAACTAAGGTTAGGCTGCCATCTTGAATCTAGGATCCGCCTGTCTTGTCACATGTGTGCCCCTAATCCCTTCTCGTCCTACTGCATGTCTACCCTAAATTGTTCCCCTCCCATTGCTGTATTGCCTATGGTGTAACCCCTTCCTGTGATGTATGTGGTTACCTGTAATTAGGGGGCTTGCATGCTCCTAAGTAGATATAAGCCTTGTTTAGAAATAAATCCTGCTCCCTCCCTCTCTCTCCTGCTCCTCCTCCTCTCATCCCCGTGGATCACCTAGAGGAGTTGAGGTGAGCATGCTACCATAAAATGTGTCTGACTCCTTTATCTTCTCTCCTACCTTCCCTATGCTCTAAGACTTTACTATAATCTTTATATATTATCGCTGTACAATTGCTCCCATGGACCCCCCACCCCCACTCCATGTTGTCAGAGGCTGGTTACCCTGAGAGTGGATGGGTAGGTTTTCTCTAAGAAATTCCCAGAGGACAGCCTTTAAGAATGGACAGGTGAAAAAAAAAAAAAAAGAATGGACAGGTACATTGTCTGATGAAAATTCCTGATACATATATTCCTCATGATGATGGCAACAAATGTACAAACGTGCTTGACACAATGGATGTATGTCTAGATTATGACAAACCCCCAATAAAATGATTAAAAAAAATACATTCCTCTGTTGTACTTTGCCCTTTTCTCATCAATGCAGTTTTCAATTAACAGCTTCCTAATAAGCCACCGTGATTGTCTTGTGTCCTTCTAGAAAATCTATCAAGATTACCCCTTGGGCACCCCAAAGCACAGTTGCCATACTACTGAACTGACCTGCCTTGAATTCACCACCGGCCCAGCAGATCCCCTCGGAAGCCATTGTTCAATTGGACTCACCCCACCCACTTTTTCCGATTCCACTAAGAATTTGATTTTTGAAATCAAAGAAGTCAAATATTGCTGAAAGATTTTGATCTGCAGCCACCCACTGAGTGCAGAGACATGTGTAAACACACGGGGGGGGGGGGGGGGGGGGGGGGGGCGGTGTAAACCCATGTGTGCATGAACTGGAACTGTGGCTGCAATACTTTTTGACCCATCCTTTTATTTCAGGGTAAATGTATGTACATTTCAAGAGCCTCTTCGACATAAACGCACCTAGAGCCTAATGATCTAGAACTATACTTTGGGCCATCTGTGCTTTTTTGGGATTGTGGACTCCAAAACTCTGTGCAAGAAGTCAGAGCTTTGTCCTTGTTTCCATTGTTAGGAAACACGAGGCAGTGAGCATCCGAGTCAAACGCTGCCAATGACAGCCGTTGGCACCGGGCTCTTTCCAAAGAGGATTAACAAAACTAAATGGCTGAAAACGGGGCCTTAGAGACCGCACAGGCCAGTCGCGGGCCCCTCCACTCTTGCAACAAAAAAAGCGGTTAGCAGGCTACGGGTCTCCGCAGGTCTCTCTCCGAGCTTCCCGAATGCTGGGGGTGACGCCAGCTCTTGCCCGGCGCTTCCCCCAAGGGAGGTGGCATCTTTGCAATTCAAGCAGGCCCGGGCCCTGTTGCTATGGTAACGCTCTTCGCCCGGCTCTGTGATGTGGGGAGAAGGGTGGTGCGCTTCGGTGTACGTCACTCCGCCTTGGTCTGAGAGCGCTACCCCACCCCAAACGAATTACTTGCCAGAAAGGAACCCATGAGGTAGATGTTTTGTAAGTGAGGGGTTCAGGAGGCCGCATTAGAACAGAAGGAAGCGGGCAGGATCTCTCCCCGTCGACCCTCCCCCCAAATCCTCCTCTCAACGATTTTGACGGTCTTTCAAAGAAAGGAGGGGGCGCTTAGTTTGGGAACTTGGTCAGACAGTTCACGCCTTTCCCCCGACCTTGGGTGTCTCTAGGCACGGGAGAACCGAAAAGGAGAACTAGCTCCCCGGATTACATTGAGCCCGCGCAGCTCATTGCGCTAGGCCTAGGGCGAGCCGCCTTCCGCATGCGTCCACCGCGGCGGCCCGGCCCTGCCCGGCCCGGCCCCACCTTCTTCACGGTGCCCTCCGGACTCGGCGCCTGCGCACTGTTCCCCGCGACCTCCAGGGCGGAGCGAACACACTTGGCGTCGCCGGCGCGCGCACAGGGGGAGGAGAGGCTTAATCGGGCGCGCTCGCGTCTGGAGTGACGCCAAGGGAGCAGGCGAGTTGGGAGGATCGAATAGGTAGAGTGGTGTGCTTGCGTTGTTTGGTGGGCGGTGCGTAAGGCCGCTCTGGGCACGGGGGTCCCCATCTCACCGGCCCTCTGGCTTCTAGGAGCAGATCCGGGGCAGAGGGAGGAGAGCTCCGGGTCAGGGGCTGCTGTCGCCGCCACCGGGGAGTCCACCAGTCCGCCCGACCGCGTTTCGCGGGCTCTGCAATTCAGGGTAAGCGGCCTCGCGCTTACCAGAGAGAGGAGCGTGAGACGATGACTATGGGAGGCAATCGGGGGACCTGTGGGAGGAAGCCGCCTGGTTGTATGTTGTATGCTGGGAAGTGTAGGGAGGACTTCCAATTAATAGTAGTAACAACAATCATCGCAACCATAATAATCGATTAAGATGTGCAGGGACTTCACGGAGCCCCTCATATGCTTCTTTCTGGGTAGCCTTTACAACAGTCCTTCGGGGTCTATACTGTTATTAAACCCATTTTACCAGAACGGAAAACTGAGGCACAGGAAGAGTTAAGGAACTCGTGCCAGGCCACACGGGGAGGAGGTAGCCTGGTCTGGATTGGAATTTAGGCCCGCCTGGCCCTAAGGCCTGTGTTAATGTCTGCTTTCCCCAAATAAAAATACAAGAATGGGTGGGAGCGGGGGATGTGAAAGAGAAGGGGAGGATGTATGTGGTGTGAAGTGGGAGGAAGGTCTTGAAGGGGAAGAGCTGGGTGCCGATGGGAGGCTGAGTTGGGAGAGTGGACTTGAGTGTGGAACCCTGCGGGCCTCCCCCTTCGAACTCACCTCCCCCCGTCTTCGTTCTTGTGGCCCCACACTCTCGTCGCTGTTCCGTGGCCTAGGAACCAGGGCCGCTGCTTTGGGGGAGTCCGCGCCCAGGCCGGGGCCACTCGAGTCTCGGAGAGCGAGCTGACCTGCGGTTCCGGCTCAGGCAGGGTCTTCAGGCGCTGGGTTTGGGGGTTGCGGGGCTCCGGCGCCGCGGCAGGGTCGGGGGAAGATCCTATTTCGTGCCGTTGCCACTTCCCTGCCCATCGTACTCCAGCACGGCTAAGTCTTTGTTCAATGTGCTAGACGTGGGCAGGCATGCTTATTGTTTCCTTGTAAACTGAGGGAGGCTTAAGCAGGACAAAACTACAAAACCCCACCAAAGGCAGCAACATTCTTCCCCCCAAGCAAGGCCTAGCACTCTGGACGGCTTGCCGAGAAAGCTGGCGGCTGGCTTAGTTGCTCACCACAGCCTTCCTGGGGTGAAGGCGAAGCTTCGTTTTGGAGAATCATCGTTTTTAATCATAGTTTTTCCAGGACAGTCAGGAGTAGATTGAACTGCTGGCCCGCAGGGCACTTTTACTTCCTTCCCCCCTCCCCGCCCCCCCGAACTTTTTGAAGCCCTCTAGTGTGTTTTCATTTCCCCTTGCACAACCCAGTAGTAACAGTTACCGCTGTAAAGGGCGGTTGGGTAGGTTCACCGTACATAGGCTCCATCCTCCCAATTGTTACTTTTGAGCGCATTGTTGCAGCTATTGTGTCAATCCATCTCCATTAGGGTCTTCCTTTTTTTGGCGCCCTTCCTCCTGTTGTTTTCCGTGGACTGCCCTTTCTGGGTAACATCTACCAGTTAGGGCTTGGTTACTGCTTTCATGTGGAATGGAGTTGTAGCTCAGGTTTGAAAGTTAGCCTCTGAAACAAAATTGACCGTCAAGATTCTTTAGGGAGATGCAGACTTGGAGATTTGCCTGGCCCGTGTCATGGGAAATCAGCAAGGTATTGCTTTCAGCTTTGAAACTTGTTGCTGGTTTGTTTGTTTGTTTTTTGCTTGAAATGAAAGTAAAACATTATAGAGACTGATGTATAAATACATATATTTGAGTGGCTAGTTCGTCTGACATTTTCTTAGCCGTCATAGCCACTAATTGAGCTTGCCCGGTTAAAAGTGCCTGTTGTGGTTTCTTGCAGGTTTTGCCTGATAGTTTTGCATTTAGGAACTTGCAAACTCCAAACTTTCTAGATAAGGGTTTGGTGCAGGAATGTCTTATTTATTTATGCTAGTAGTCTTGTGTGTTCTCCATTTGTCAGGCAAATTCACCAGTAGTTAACTTTGCAAAGGCAAGTTATTTTCTGAGTAGAAATCATATACAGTGAACCCTCGTTTATCGCGGTTAATCGGTTCTAGACCCTACCGTGATAAATGAAATTCCGAAGTAGGATTCCTTATTTGTAAATCAAATATTTTCGTAGTTAGAGCATAGAGGACATGAAAAAACACCCTTTAGTCACCATTAC